CCCACCCCGGTGGCGGCGCCACTGACCCACATTTGACTATTTGTTGTGCAGAAGGGGGTGGTACTGTATAATGACGGGGGAGAGAATGATTTTCCTCTTTGTGTCTTTTTGAGCCTTTTTCTCTGTGTCTGCGGATGACATGACACACTGAGGGCTCACCACCATTATGCGGGGCAGAGACACTCCGCTGCCGCTCAACCCAACGCCCAGCCCGGCACGGCGGCGGGATGCTCGCACCGGAAAGACTAAAGGCCGCGGGGCGGGGTGGGGCGGGGCGGCAGGGCCTTGGCCGGTGGCATTAGCATGGCTCTGTGCCGCTCTGCGCCACCCGGTACCCAGCACAGTGTGGCCCGGTCAGCGATCCTGATGAAGAAGCGCGTCGCGGTGTTGGCAATACGCACGACGTTGCCAATAGGGCAACGAAAACGCCACAACCAAGGCGGCGTAACATTCTATGAAATACATTATTTTGTCTTTCAAAAGATGTCAGAACAAATATTTAGTATCAATTTTTCTAAAGAAAACAGAAAAAATTAACAAAATCCAAAACACAAATATTTTAACGAAAGTCTTTAAAAAATTGCAGTTATCGTTTCCAGCTTTTTTTGGAGCGGACGAATGAGGTAGAACGAAGGAGATTGTGCAGAGGATATGGACTCTGCTGCAGTAGGGGCCGCGGGTGGGTAAACACGGCAGTACGTAGCGCCGCTGCTGTGCCGCTGCGCCGCCCCAACAACAAACATGACACCGCCCGGGGCAGAGCATGGTCGTTATATTTAGTGTCCGCGCCGCTTGTCGCCCCACCCCGCCCCGCCCCCCGCCGCGCCGCGCCGTCCTTCACCTCCACCTAAATTTAGTTGGTACGCCACGAACGCCTGCTGTCGCGGAAAGTCCGCGCGCGCCGCGTGCGGGTTGGGTTGGTTTTAGGGGTTGCGCGGGGGGTTGGTCGCGGCTTGGTGGTGGTTGTTATTGCTGCCGGGCTGTGACGCCGCTCACGACCCTCTGAGGAGCCGCGCCGAGGCTGCTGCTACGCAGCTCGGATGGTTTTACGCTGTTCCTCTCCGACCAACCGGGTCACTCCCGGTGCTGTGTGCTGCGGCGCCCTGAATATGAAACACTCACCGTGAGAGCCGGGCGCGGCGCAGAGCGGAGCGCAGGGCTTGTGCGTGCGTTACGTGCTGCGGGGGAGGCGGGGCGGGGCGGCGCTGGGAAGGGCAGACCAGCAGGGCGGGGTGGGGCCCCTCCCTGGAGGTTCATTACGTCACGGAGGCATAAAGGCGCTGCTGCTGCTGCTGCTACCGCACACCGACGGCTCCTCTTCGCTCCCGTGTCTGTGTGTGTCGTACGCACTCACCCTGCTGTGTGTCACGAATAGTCGTATCGTTACTTTTATGGAGTGGGGTTTTCTCACGGTATTTTCCTTTGAACTCCCTCCTTCTTTG